GACAACTAACTGCTATTCAATCTATAACAGTGAAAAAAGTTTTTTGGTTTTTTTAAATGCACGCTATTGTGACACCAGTGAGTGAGTGGTGGCACTGGGCACAGTATCCAATGTGAGCCTGACACACCCGCTTTAAAACAACTAACTGCTATTCAATCTATAACAGTGAAAAAAGTTTTTTGTTTTTAAATGCAAGCTATTGTGACACCAGTGAGTGAATGGTGGCACTGGGCACAGTATCCACTGTGAGCCTGACACACCCGCTTTGAGACAACTAACTGCTATTCAATCTATAACAGTGAAAAAAGTTTGTGGGTTTTAAATGCAAGCTATTGTGACACCAGTTAGTGAGTGGTGGCACTGGGCACAGTATCCACTGTGAGCCTGACACACCCGCTTTGAGACAGCTAACTGCTATTCAATCTATAACAGTGAAAAAAGTTTTTTGGTTTTTAAATGCACGCTATTGTGACACCAGTGAGTGAGTGGTGGCACTGGGCACAGTATCCACTGTGATCCTGACACAGACGCTGGCAGACAACTAACTGCTATTCAATCTATAACAGTGAAAAAAGTTTTGTGGGTTTTAAATACAAGCTATTGTGACACCAGTTAGTGAGTGGTGGCACTGGGCACAGTATCCACTGTGAGCCTGACACACCCGCTTTGAGACAACTAACTGCTATTCAATCTATAACAGTGAAAAAAGTTTTTGGGTTTTAAATGCACACACCAGTTAGTATTCTGGGCACAGCATCCACTGTGAGCCTGACACAGACGCTGGCAGACAACTAACTGCTATTCAATCTATAACAGTGAAAAAAGTTTGTGGGTTTTAAATACAAGCTATTGTGACACCAGTTAGTGAGTGGTGGCACTGGGCACAGTATCCACTGTGAGCCTGACACACCCGCTTTGAGACAACTAACTGCTATTCAATCTATAACAGTGAAAAAAGTTTTTTGGTTTTTAAATGCACGCTATTGTGACACCAGTGAGTGAGTGGTAGCACTGGGCAAGTGGGCACAGTATACGCTGCGAGCCTGACACACAGACGCTTGCAGACAACTAACTGCTATTCAATCTATAACAGTGAAAAAAGTTTTTTGGTTTTTAAATGCAAGCTATTGTGACACCAGTGAGTGAAGTGGTGGCACTGGGCAAGTGCATCCACTGTGAGCCTGACACAGCGCTTGGAGACAACTAACTGCTATTCAATCTATAACAGTGAAAAAAGTTTGTGGGTTTTAAATGCAAGCTATTGTGACACCAGTGAGTGAGTGGTGGCACTGGGCACAGTATCCACTGTGAGCCTGACACACCCACTTTGAGACAACTAACTGCTATTCAATCTATAACAGTGAAAAAAGTTTTTTGGTTTTTAAATGCACGCTATTGTGACACCAGTGAGTGAGTGGTGGCACTGGGCACAGTATCCACTGTGAGCCTGACACAGACGCTTGCAGACACTAACTGCTATTCAATCTATAACAGTGAAAAAAGTTTGTGGGTTTTAAATACAAGCTATTGTGACACCAGTTAGTGAGTGGTGGCACTGGGCACAGTATCCACTGTGAGCCTGACACACCCGCTTTGAGACAACTAACTGCTATTCAATCTATAACAGTGAAAAAAGTTTTTTGGTTTTTAAATGCACGCTATTGTGACACCAGTGAGTGAGTGGTGGCACTGGGCACAGTATCCACTGTGAGCCTGACTCAGACGCTTGCAGACAACTAACTGCTATTCAATCTATAACAGTGAAAAAAGTTTGTGGGTTTTAAATGCAAGCTATTGTGACACCAGTTAGTGAGTGGTGGCACTGGGCACAGTATCCACTGTGAGCCTGACACACCCGCTTTGAGACAACTAACTGCTATTCAATCTATAACAGTGAAAAAGTTTTTGGGTTTTAAATGCAAGCTATTGTGACACCAGTGAGTGAGTGGTGGCACTGGGCACAGTATCCACTGTGAGCCTGACACACCCGCTTTGAGACAACTAACTGCTATTCAATCTATAACAGTGAAAAAAGTTTTTTGTTTTTAAATGCAAGCTATTGTGACACCAGTGAGTGAGTGTTGGCACTGGGCAAGTGGGCACAGTATCCACTGTGAGCCTGACACAGAAGCTGGCAGACAACTAACTGCTATTCAATCTATTATAGTTAAAATGCAAGCTATTGTGACACCAGTGAGTGAGTGGTGGCACTGGGCACAGTATCCACTGTGAGCCTGACACAGAAGCTGGCAGACAGGCAGGCAACTGCAATTACATTACACAAAAAAAAAAGCAGACTGATGTTCTAGCCCTAAAAAGGGCTTTTTGGGGGTGCTGTCCTTACAACAGAGATCAGATGAGTCCTTCAGGACTGTAATGGACACTGTATACCCTAACCTAGCTATGCATTTCCCTAGCTAATCAATAGCAGCTACACTTTCCCTCCTCTGACTAAGCATGCAGCTTGAGAATGAATGTAAAATGGATGCCTTCCAGTAGGTGGGAGGGTCTGCTAGGGAGGGTGTGCTGCTAATTGGCTGGAATGTGTCTGCTGACTGTGAGGTACAGGGTCAAAGTTTACTCAATGATGACGAATAGGGGGCGGATCGAACCGCATATATGTTCGCCCACTGTGGCGAACACGAACATGCTATGTTCGCCGGGAACTATTCGCCAGCGAACCGTTCGGTGCATCACTATTGGTAGTGTCTTTCATACTAATGCCGCTCTGGATACGTGAAGGCGAACGAACATACAAAAGGATGGAAGTTCAGCGGTGTTCACGCCGTCGATTGTCCGATTATAGTTCCATGCACTCGATGACCAAACACGCTTTCTGTTCATCAGCAAAGATTATTGCCGCCATGTGTTCAGTCATACGAACGACGGCCACCCATGCGACCCCTTAGAATCTTGCAGTTTCTAAGTGTGAACCCCGTTAATTGTAGGCACACAACTCCCCTGGGTGGTCTCACTGTTCGGTAGTTGGTTCGACTGATGAACAATATGCCTTTAGTCTGTTCGGGAACCCCAAATTGTTGAACCAACTTATTCTTGCATATAAATAGGTGGCTAGCTTTGCCACAAGTTTACTACAGTAATTAACCCAATTATCTCCCAGGTACAGAGGAGGGATTATTCTATTTTGTGTGGGAGTGTCCTGGCCCTAAGAACCAATGCCATTGTGTGATTGTTTGTATGAAGACGACTCTCAGGTCCAGGGGGGAGTGCCCTTTGCATGGGGACCTGCATAAAAGGCCAGCTGTAGCTACCATTAAACACATTGCTTTACCCCTTCATGAAGTCTTGGCTCATGTTTGGCGGATTGGGAGTTATAATCACGAACAACTTCTTCTATGCTTGGATTTCAGGAGATTCTTCACGGATATACTCAGTCAGAGTATAGGGGATCCGTTACAGGAATATTCCTTTATTTGTGCTAGGATGTGTGCAGAGTGTTATATCACCTAAATCGCAGGAGGCCCTGGCCTTGCTTTAGATAGAAGAGTAAGTAGAGACTTAATTGCAAATAATAGCTACAAATACAAGCAGCAGCTCAAAACGGCTTACTAAGTTAAAGAGCTACACAATATACAAAGTATCCACTTAACTCTGTAGTATACTTAGTCATCTAATAGAGCTTTAACAGGAATGAGGAAGGGATAATCAGAATAATCTTTGAAAATAGTACAATATAATACTAAGCTGTAAAATTCGATGACTGGTGCTCAGGGCCGGCCTTCGGGGTGTGCAAGCTGTGCGGCCACACAAGGCGCCATAGCAACCGGGTGGCCGACACAACTCGCCGTCGGTCACTCACAGCAGGCGGGACCAAGATGATGTGAGGCGAGCTGCATCAATCCGGTATGCAGCTGCAATGCAGAAAGTCAGGCCCGAGCGTGCTGGAGGATCCTAAGCATTCAAGTGCTTGCGCCTTCACAGAGAGCCACGGAATGATCCGCTCAATGTGTGAGGGCGACGGATGGTGCTCTGCAGACAGGGAGCAGCATCTTTCAAAGAAGTGAGTACCTGTTCTTATTGTTTTTTTATTTATTTTTTAAACTAAATATCTTTCCTTTCATTAAAGGGGAGCAGGGGACAGGGTAAGGGTGACAGGGTATGATAGGAGTGCATGGTCTAATTAAGGGGGGCAGGGGACTGGGTAAGGGGGAGAAAGAGGCACTTCCCAACCTAATGGGGAGTACCAGTCGAAGAGGGTTATAAGGGTGGCAAAATGGGCATAACCCAGCGTAAAGCACAATAGAAAGAGAAAAGATTTAGGAAATGATCAACCCTCCTAAAAAAAAGGGGGGGGTATGATCACCTTCAAGCCACCCCAAAAAATGGCGTCTCAAAAATAAAAATAATAAACAACTTTAATAGGAAAAAATGGAGAAAAAACACCACACACAAAAGTATAGCATAAAATAAATTAAAATGAATGGATATAAAGGGTCTAGTGTCTGAGGAATGTAACCAGACTCACATAGATCAGTATATATACATTGTAACAAACTCACTCATAACAGAGTGATAAATTTGTAAAGTGATTATTATCTTGCACTAGACCCCACAGGGTAGACACTAATGTATGGAAATCGAAAGGATAGAGAAGGTAAATAGGTGAGAGTGAAAAATAAAGTGGAAATAACCTAACAAAGATATAGTACAACAGATTGAAAAGGTTATATCTAACCACCAAGTAACTCACTAAACTCTATCACTATAGCAGCGAATGTTCAGAGCAAAAAGCAGCTCAAACATCAGTGTAACATCCTGGTCTCCATAAAGAGAAACCTCAAATAGGTCTAAGTAGAAACAAAGAGCAGCCCAACGCGCGTTTCGGCGGACTAACCGCCTTTTTCAAGGGCAATCAAAAAGTGATGAAATAAACCGCAAGTACAATCCCCCCCCGGAACTATTTAAATGTCTTTCCATACCTCCTCCTTGTTGTCATTGGTGGAATCTATCACCGTGCTAATTGGCAAGAAGAACTGCGCATGTCAAAAGAGAGACATGCGCATGTGCATCCAGTATGTCTTATTTTTCGGGTTGCGCATGTCCGAAGAGTAACGGAGATAAATGCGCATGTCCGCCCACCGGCGGACACGCATGCGCAAGAGCTTCCTGTCTACCCGACAAGTCCCCCAGATCATGCGCATGTCCGCAGCCTAATTGCCGCGCAAGCGCAAGGTATCTGAGCACAAAGTGAACTATATCTATACAAATAGCTCAGTATAAACAGGAAAGTATGTATCTATAATAGATAATAACTAGAGCGATAGAACTATAAGGAGGAGTATCTGATGAAGGGGGGCCAGGGGTTTTATTGAAGGGGTGGCCAAGGGTTTTGGTGAAGGAGTGAATGTGGCATATTGTGTGCCTGAAATTGTCTAGAGGGGGCCAAACAAAGATGTGGGTTGAAGAAATGAGGGAGAGGCTATACATGCTTAGTGTTGTAAAATGGTTAAATATAGTGTACTGACAACATTGCTCTTGTTTCTACAATACATAAACTGATTTTGTGGATTATACTATTAAAGTGGCACTGTCACTGTCTGGGAATTTGCCAAATTCGCAAAGACCACTGACAGTGACATTGAAGCTGATCTATAGTTGATCTATACCTTCACTACTGTGTTAGCATGTGATTTTTCAGTTGTTCTACACATTTAATGTTATTTTTTGATGTGTTATTTAATCTATACCTGGAAATACAAGGTTTGGATGGTATAGATGAATACCTGCAATGCTTTGTTACATGGTTGTCTATTGGATCTATGCCTGAACTAAAGGATTTGTATGGATAATGCAGTTGATCTACATCTGCTATACTGGTTGTGTATACTGGTTATTCAGTTGATCTATACCTATTTAAAATTCTGGTTCTTGCTTTCAAATCTTTACATAATGCTGCTCCCACCTATCTATCCTCCCTTATACACAAGTATGTCCCGTCTAGGCCCTTACGATCTGCTGAAGACTTACGTCTATCTTCTGTCCGTACTCCCACCTCTGATGCTCGCCTTCAAGATTTCTCGAGGGTTGCACCGTTCCTGTGGAACTCGCTTCCCTCCTCCGTTAGATGCTCACCCAGTCTCCACTCCTTCAAAAAAATCGTTAAAAACCCACTTCTTCATAAAAGCGTATCAATTAAACTGTTAATAGCTCCTGACTGATTCCTCTTCTGCAACTGTCATTAGTCTAAAACTAGCCTTACCTTTTTGTGTCCCTCTAGCATGTAAGCTCATTGAGCAGGGCCCTCAACCCCTCTGTTCCTGTGTATCCAACTTGTCTGGTTACAACTACATGTCTGTTTGTCCACCCATTGTAAAGCGCTGCGGAATTTGACGGCGCTCTATAAATATCATAATAATAATAATAATACCACCTGCAGTACAGGGTTTGTATGTTTTATTCAGTTGATCGCTAAGTGGTATCTAGTGAAGCCCTATGTTATTTGGTATTTTGTTTATCTATGCTTTATTTGGCACAAATGTTGGCGTACTACATTTAGGAAATTTATATTATCCGTACACTGCTGCTGCGAATCTTGCATGGACCGCAAGCAGATACATCTTTGGAAGAAGAGGATTCTAATACACCTTCTGGCCCAGTGGCTTTTGATGAAACAATAAACACATGTGAAAACTCAAGCTTTACAGATCCTGCTTTGTGGCCAAAATTGATTTCTAAGAATATTGATAGTATTTTAGATGTTAGTCCTGTACAGGTACAAGATGTTGATTTTAAAAAAGATGCTTATAAACTGCATTTTTCTTCAGCTTTCTACAAAAGAAAATTAGACAGTGTTGAAGAACAAACATGGCGATGGTTGGTATACTTATCTGCCAATAAAGTACTCGGTTTCTCTTGTAAATTATTTGATAAGAAATCTAAAACATTGCTTGCCCTTGGAGGATCAGATGACTGGACACATGTCAAATATTTTGAAATCGCATGAAAGTGAAGTGGTCATTTTACAGCCCAGCAGATGTGGACTGAAACACAACTGAGACGGAAATCAAGACAAGCGATTGATCAAAACTATCAATATCTCATGAGCTTTGAAAGGCAACACTGGATATCTGTGATGGACAGGCTGTTAAATATTGTCCAGTTTTTAGCAGAGCGTAATCTGGCCTTCAGAGGCTCTTCAGATCAATTTGTGTCATCCAATAATGGAATTTTTTTAGGTCTCGTGGAGTTATAAGGAAAATATGAAAGTGTGATGGCAGAACACTTACGAATGGTGGTATCAAAAGAAACTGCAGACCACTACTGTAGAAAAACAATTCAAAATGAAATCATAACTCTTATGGCAAAACAGGTAATTGAGGACATTTTACAACGCTGCAGAAATGTAAAATATTTCTCAATTATCCTTGATTGCACTCCAGATATTAGCCATAAGGAGCAGATGTCTTTTACAATTCGATTTTTGGAAGACATTTCTGGAAAATTTTAAGTAAAGGAACATTTCCTTGGTTTCAATAAAGTAGAGGATACAACTGGAAAAAAGGATTAAGTGATTTCTTCCTTGAATTTCTTTCAGGAAAATATTTCGACATTGATAATTCTAGTGGACAAGGTTATGACAATGGAACCAATATGGCAGGAAAAACCAACGGAGTTCAGTCCAAAATTTTAAACATAAACCCAAGAGCAGTATTTGTACCGTGTGGCTGTCATTGTCGTAATCTTGTCATTGGAGATGCAGTACGCTCCTGCAAGGAATCGATGCAACTATTTGGTATAATTCAGTGCTTTTATGTTCTATTCTCAGGACCCATAAAGAGATGGAAAATTTTGTCTGACCACATTTCTGGCCTCACTTTAAAGCCTTTGTGCACCACTCGGTGGGAATGCCATATAAATTGTCTTAAACCACTAAGACATAATTTCGGTGAAATACAAGAAGCACTGATTGTTTTGTCTGATGAAACCCACATTGAACCAAACATTTGTCATGAGGCTAACACACTTTCTCAGCAGATTGTGGAGTTCAAATTTATTGTGTTAGGTATGAAATATTGTACCAAGTTAATATTGTGAGCAAAGCTATGCAGAATGAGGCTGCTGATATCATTTTAGTCTCCAACCTTATCCAGAAATGTCACAATTTTTAAATAAATTTCAGAGTCTGGATTTGAAAGCTCCTTCCAGCTTGCAAGGGAACTAGAAGAAAAAAGTGAATGTGTAGCCTGTTTTCAAAAAGCCTTCTTGTATCCACAGAAAAAAGCATTGTTTGGTTATGAAAGCCAAGATGAACCTTTAAACAGATCCCACGAAGACATTTTTATTATGTTTTGGTTGATACTGCTGCTAAATCTTTGGAGGAGCGTTTTACTCCAATGGAACAACACAACAAAGTATGGAGATTTCTATACAATATGAGACATCTTCCAGCAAGAGAAAACTTAAGGGACTGTTGGTTGCAGTTACAGAAGGCATTAGAGAAGAGCAGCCAATCGGACATTAATAGTCTTTCTGAGGAGTTTTGGCATATTCAAAGCCTACTACCTCAAGATGCCCCAGCACCCCACCATATACTCAATTTCATAGTGAGAAATGGCCTGACTGACAAATTTCCAAACATTTGGATAGCGTTTCGGATTCTATTAACAATTCCTGTTTCTGTGGCATCAGGAGAACACAGCTTTTCCTAGTTAAAACTCAATAAAACATATCTGAGATCATCAATGACTGATGACAGACTAACCTCTTTATCAGTATTATCAATTGAAAGCAATGTATTGAAGACGTTGGACATGAACAACGTGATTGAGTTTACAAAGACAAAAGCACGTCAAGTTGTGTTTTGAGCTTCAGATTAATATTACTTGTCAGGAGGTGTATATTTTATTTACCAGTGTTCCCAGTTAATATTGCATTTGCACATATATGATCTCTAAAAAACAATGCTAAAAAGATTGCAGTTAGCATTTTTTTTTTGTATTTAATAAACATTATTGTCACCAGTCAATCCAGTTATTTATTATTGTACTTGTTTGCACTTGCACTTAATTTATCTGTAATGAACCCCTTAAAACAATGTGATAGGATTATAGTAAGACACACAATAATAAAAAGTCCTCTAAAAACACCTTAGTGAGAGTCCCTTTCACCTCACAAATAAATATAGATACATACAATGTAAGGTGGAGTATCTTCTTATTATATAGAATGTTCCGTATATATAAAGAGCAGAACAAAATAAAACAGATGATAGTGCAATATTGTCTGTTATATAAGAGATTTATATAAAATGGGAGGAATATCACTCACAAGTACAGAGCCTCAAATTATGGCTCAATTTTCCAGTATTGTGGGAGATAAGGTTCCCACTGCCTTCTTTGTGTAGCTGGTGATCAAATATTCCTCTTGCAAGCAGGTGATAATTTCCAAAGTGCTTTATTATAAAGTGCACAACTATATGACGAGATAAAAATCAAAGTAAAATAGTAAAATTGCAAAACCTTACAGATTGAAGGCTAGGATGAATAAAGTCTCTGATTCAGAAGAGTCTGTAGTGCAAAACGCGTTTCGCCTCCTGTAGTGTGTAGATTTAGTCGCTGTTACTGAGACATGGTACAATGAGAAAAATGACTGGGACATAGCAATACCAGGGTACTCTTTATATAGGAAAGATAGGGAAGGCAAGAAAGGGGGAGGGGTGGCCTTGTATGTGAAGGATAGCATAAAATCTAGCCTAATAAAAGTTAGTGAGGCAAACATAGAGTCCGTTTGGGCTACGTTAGAATTTGGTAATCACACAGTAACTCGTGTAGGTGTGATTTATAGGCCCCCAGGACAAATTGAAGAGTTAGATAATCTACTAGTTGAGGAAATAGCTAAAATGACAATGAAGGGGGAAGTTATCATCATGGGTGACTTTAATCTTCCTGATGTAAATTGGAAAACAAAATTAGCTACTTGTGCCAGGAGCACACATATTCTAAACTCCCTACTGGGATTGTCTCTAAAACAAGTTGTTGAGGAGCCAACTCGTAAAGAGGCCATACTAGATTTAGTGTTAACAAATGGAGATTTGGTATCAGATGTTACTGTAGGTGAAAGTTTAGGATCCAGTGATCATCAGTCAGTGTGGTTTAATATAAGAACAGTGACTGAGTCACACCACACAAAAACAAAAGTTTTAGACTTTAGAAAAACAGACTTTCCTAAAATTAGAATATGGGTAGAGGAGTCATTATCAGACTGGAGCAATTTAAATGGAGTCCAAGAAAAATGGGATTATTTAAAAGTTGCACTATTGAAGGCAACAGAAAATTGCATTAGGCTTGTCAGTAAAAGCAAAAAATTCAAGAAACCACTGTGGTACTCCGCAGATGTGGCCAAAATAGTTAAAAACAAAAAGTTAGCATTTAGGAATTATAAAAAAACCCAGAGTGAGGAAGACAAAATGATCTATAAGATTAGGCAGAAAGAGGCTAAGCAAGTTATAAGAGCTTCCAAATCACACACAGAAGAGAAAATAGCACAGTCAGTAAAAAAGGGGATAAAACATTTTTAGATACATAAATGAGAAAAGAAAAGTAAAACAAGGATTAGTTAGATTAAAAACAAAAGAAGGAAGGTATGTAGAAGAGGATAAAGGTCTAGCTGACTGCCTCAATGAATATTTTTGTTCTGTATTTACAGATGAAAATGAAGGAAAGGGACCTCAGTTGAGAAAAAGGATAAATGAGTCATTTATTACACGTGAGTTTACAGAGGAAGAGGTTCTATTTCAACTGTCAAAAGTAAAGACAAATAAGTCAATGGGACCTGATGGAATACACCCAAAGCTATTAAAAGAGCTTAGTGGTGTACTAGCAAAACCATTAACAGATTTATTTAACCAATCATTGTTAACAGGAGTAGTCCCAGAAGATTGGAAGTTAGCGAATGTTGTGCCCATTTACAAGAAAGGTAATAGGGAGGAGTCGCAACTATAGGCCAGTAAGCCTTACTTCAGTAGTGGGGAAAGTGATGGAAACCATGTTAAAGGATAGGATTTGAACATCTAAAAACACATGGATTTCAAGATCAGAGACAACATGGGTTTACTTCAGGGAGATCATGCCAAACTAATCTTATTGATTTTTTTGATTGGGTAACTAAAATAATAGATCAGGGTGGTGCAGTAGACATTGCTTACCTAGATTTCAGTAAGGCTTTTGACACTGTTGCACATAGAAGGCTTATCAATAAACTGCAATCTTTAAGTTTGGATTCCAATATTGTTGAATGGGTAAGGCAGTGGCTGAGTGACAGGCAACAGAGGGTTGTAGTTAATGGAATATATTCGAAGCTTGGACTTGTCACCAGTGGGGTACCTCAGGGATCTGTACTTGGACCCATTCTCTTTAATATTTTTATTAGTGATATTGCAGAAGGTCTTGATGGTAAGGTATGTCTTTTTGCTGATGATACTAAGGTATGTAACAGGGTTGATGTTCCAGGAGGGATAAGCCAAATGACTAATGATTTAGGTAAACTAGAAAAATGGTCAGAATTGTGGCAACTGACATTTAATGTGGATAAGTGCAAGATAATGCATCTTGGACGTAAAAACCCAAGGGCAGAGCACAAAATATTTGATAGAGTCCTAACCTCAACATATGAGGAAAGGGATTTAGGGGTGATTATTTCTGATGACTTAAAGGTAGGCAGACAATGTAATAGAGCAGCAGGAAATGCTAGCAGAATGCTTGGTTGTATAGGGAGAGGTATTAGCAGCAGAAAGAGGGAAGTGCTCATGCCATTGTACAGAACACTGGTGAGACCTCACTTGGAGTATTGTACACAGTACTGGAGACCGTATCTTCAGAAGGATATTGATACCTTAGAGAGGGTTCAGAGAAGGGCTACTAAACTGGTTCATGGATTGGATAAAACTTACCAGGAAAGGTTAAAGGATCTTAACATGTATAGCTTGGAGGAAAGACGAGACAGGGGGGATATGATAGAAACATTTAAATATATAAAGGGAATCAACACAGTAAAGGAGGAGACTATATTTAAAAGAAGAAAAACTACCACAACAAGAGGACATAGTCTTAAATTAGAGGGACAAAGGTTTAAAAATAATATCAGGAAGTATTACTTTACTGAGAGGGTAGTGGATGCATGGAATAGCCTTCCAGCTGAAGTGGTAGAGGTTAACACAGTAAAGGAGTTTAAGCATGCGTGGGATAGGCATAAGGCTATCCTAACTATAAGATAAGGCTAGGGACTAATGAAAGTATTTAGAAAATTGGGCAGACTAGATGGGCCGAATGGTTCTTATCTGCCGTCACATTCTATGTTTCTATGTTTCCTCAGTTGCTGTAGAGTGTGAGACAAATGTCCTTTATATACAATAAATAATCTAACATCATTCAAAAACGCTGATACTTAATGCCAATCTTTCACTTCCGGTTTCCGGGTCTTTGCGTTCCACTAATGGAACGCAAACGTCAACGTTTTTGATAGCCGTTTCCTTTTCTCGGCGTCCAGGACTTAATTTCCGGTTTCTGGTAGTGCTTCCGGTTTGCGTTCAAACAGTGGAACACAAAACTTCATCATTCCGCACGTGCACCGGCGGGACTTCCGCCCTGCGTTCCACTGCTGGAACGCATGACATATGATCACATAATTCTAACAGGGTTCATAGTTCCCCACTTAACCACCAACGAATATCCAATATGATACATTACAGTTACAGAAGCATGAGGTTGAATAATTTTTTCATAATAACTCTACTTAAAATTATAAAGGAAGTAGAAAGATTTATTAAGAAATCATTTTTGTTAATTTTAAACAACACTTCTAAGTTTTATTGTACTATGCCATGCTTCTGTAACTGTAATGTATCATATTGGATGTTTGTTGGTGGTTAAGTGGGGAACTATGAACCCTGTTGATAGAATTATGTGATCGTATGTCATGCGTTCCAGCAGTGGAACGCAGGGCGGAAGTTCCGCCTGCGCACGTGCGGAATGATGACGGTTTGCGTTGCACTGTTGGACTGCAAACATTAATATATGTGTGTGTATAGATTCAAAAAATAACCGGCACTCACGGTTTTCTCAAGTAATATCACTTTAATACTCGGAATTAAAGTGATATTACTTGAGAAAACCGTGAGTGCCGGTTATTTTTTGAATCTATACACACACACATATATATTAATTCTACATATATATTTATGTAATATTTTTACATAATTGGGTATCTTAATTAATTACAATTAGCGGGACCTGCCTGACAACCCATGCCGAAAGTAAAGGGAATTTAAACACTGGCCAAATTTGGCGTTTTTTGCATTTTTCACACAAACAAATACTAACGCTAACTTTGGCCAGTGTTTGTGACCAAATGGCTACTAAAAAAGACTGGACATACCCCAT